CTAGTGGTGAGAGTACTAAAAGTCAGTCTGTAACACCTAAACCAGCTGAGAACAAGAGAGTATGGGAAAAACCTCTTTGTTACTATTGTAAAAAGCCAGGGCATGTGAGGGCAGAGTGTTTCAAGTTGAAGAATGAGAGGCAGTGGAGAAAGCCAGTAGCATTTGCCAGGGTTAGAGACCCTGTTAGGAAAGTAGTAGGGAGTTCAGCCATGCCTGGAAAAAGATGTGGAATTCTTGATGTACCTGAAGAGTATAAAAACTTTGTGTCAAAGGGTGAGGTATCCCTTGGTAAGGTTAGTGATAGTAAGCCTGTAGTTATACTCAGAGATACTGGGGCAGCTCAGTCTTTAATGTTGGCTGGTGTATTACTTTTAGATAATGTAAATACAGATAGATGCCAGTGTGCTGGTTCAGGGTATTGGAGGTGGTTATGAGTCTGTTCCCTTGTATAATGTCAAGTTGAAGTCTGATTTGGTCACTGGAGATGTGATTGTTGGTGTGGTCAAGTCCTTGCCGATAGAGGGCGTTACTTTTCTGCTGGGTAATGACCTGGCTGGGGGTAAGGTGATTGTACTCCCCGTGGTTTCTTGTAAGCCTGTGGTTAATGACAAGACTGAAGAGTTGCTTGAATTATATCCTGGTATATTCCCTGCGTGTGTTGTTACTAGGTCACAAACTAGTAAGGAGAGACAGGATGAGCTGGTGTCAGAGGTAGTGAAGGAAGACTCTGGTGTGTGGTTAGCGGAGACTTTTTTTGGTGATTTGAAGGATGGTAATGAGATTAAGACTGACTTCAGTCACTCTTCACTAGTAGAGCAGCAAGAAGCAGATTTCACCTTGAAAGAGCTAATGGCGAGTGCATTGAGTGAGAATGAGGCTGAAAATCTTCCGAAGTGTTGTTATATGAAGGATGGTGTTTTAATGAGGAAGTGGCGACCTCCCAGTTCCCCAGCTGATGAGGACTGGACGATAGTTCACCAAATAGTGGTGCCTCACTCTTATCGGCATGAGATACTTAGAATAGCTCATTCTATCCCTGTGGCTGGGCACTTGGGTGTAAGAAAGACTGAAGCCAGAATAATGGCACATTTTTACTGGCCCAAGTTACATAGAGACGTGGTTGACTACTGCAAAACGTGTCATACTTGTCAGGTTGTAGGAAAACCCCAGCCTGCTATTAAGCCTGCCCCTTTGGTGCCTATCCCAGCATTTGGTGAGCCATTCAGTAAGGTGTTGGTTGACTGTGTTGGCCCATTGCCTAGAACCAAGACAGGTTTTCGTTTTATGTTAACAATCATGGATATGGCCACTAGGTATCCTGAGGTAGTGCCTTTGAAAACTATAACTGCTAAGGTAGTGGTGGAGGCATTGGTGCATTTTTTTACAAGGTATGGGCTTCCTAAAGAAATTCAGTCTGACCAAGGGTCAAACTTTATGTCTGGGTTATTTCAGGAAGTTATGCATCAGCTGGGGGTGAGTCAGCTCAAATCCTCTCCTTATCATCCCCAGTCTCAGGGAGCATTATAAAGGTATCATCAAACTTTGAAGAACATGCTCAGGTCATACTGTACAGAGTGTCCGGAGGATTGGGATAAGGGAATACCCCTTGTATTGTTTGCTACTAGGGACACTCCCAGTGACTCTACAGGGTTTAGTCCATTTGAACTTGTGTATGGTCATAATGTCAGGGGTCCCCTGTAGCTTCTAAAAGAAAAGTTTCTAGTTGCTGAGCCAGAGACCAATATGCTAGATTATATATGCAAGTTTCGAGAACGCCTTTTTAAAGCAGGCGAGATGGCTGCTGAACATCTTAAGGTGTTCCAGAATGTTATGAAGAAGAAGTTTGATAGAAATGCAAAAGCACGCCAGTTTAGCCCAGGTGACAAGGTCTTAGTATTATTACCGTTAGTGGGTGAGCCATTAGCTGCTAAGTTTAGTGGGCCCTATGAGATTAAAAAGAAACTTAGTGAGGTCAATTATTTAATTAGTATCCCTGATCGCCGAAAACATCAACGAGTTTGTCATATTAACATGATGAAGAAGTATTTTGATTGTAAGGGAGAACCCCCTAAGATGATAGGTGTAGTTGGTTCTGGTAATCAGACTTTTGAGTGCGAAGATGAAGATGAAGATGATCCTGATCCTGGAGAGTTTGATATGTCACAACTGGATCCACAAACTGCTGTATTATCCAATTCTGAGACCTTATCCAACTTGTCGTCTTTGTTGAGCTATTTACCAGAGCCTCAAAAAGAAAGTTTTTGCGAGTTGATTTTTGAATTTCAACATTTGTGTTCTGATGAATTGGGTCGTACCACTTTGGCTTGGCATGATGTGGATGTCGGTGAGGCTATCCCCATTAAGCAGGCTCCATACAGACTCAACCCTGATAAGTTGGCCATGGTGAGAAAGGAGGTTCAGTACATGTTACAGCATGATATAATCGAACCCAGTCAGAGTAGCTGGAGTTCTCCCATTGTTCTCATCCCCAAACCTGATGGGTCTTTGAGATTTTGTATTGATTTCCGTAAGGTAAATGCTTTAACTGTTACTGACTCTTATCCTCTTCCCAGAATTGAAGATTGCATTGACAAAGTTGGGAAAGCAAAGTACATCAGTAAGGTAGATTTACTTAAAGGTTATTGGCAGGTTCCTCTGACTAATAAGGCCAAAGAAATATCAGCCTTTGTCACGCCTGATGGTTTGTTTCATTGTAAAGTTCTTCCATTTGGCATGAAAAACACTCCAGCAACCTTCCAGCGCCTAATGGATAGAGTAATACAAGGTGTACCAATTTGTGTTGTGTATATTGATGATGTGGTTATCTATAGCGAAAATTGGGAAAGTCATTTGCTCCATCTCAGAAAATTGTTTGAAAAGCTCACATGGGCCAATTTGGTTGTAAACTTGACCAATAGTGAGTTTGCTAAAGCTAAGGTGACCTATTTAGGTCATGTCATAGGTCAAGGTAAAGTGTTGCCACGACTGGCCAAGGTTAAAGCCATTGTCAACTATCTGGCTCCAAAATCAAAACAAGAAATCCTTAGATTTTTGGGCATGTTTGGTTTCTATCAAAAGTTTGTGGCAAACTATAGTGAGGTTGTGGCTCCACTTACCAATTTGCTAAGTACGAAGGTGAACTTTATTTGGTCAGATGAATGTGAACAGGCATTCGCAAAGATTAAATCTGTGTTAATAAGAGAGCCCATTCAAGTCTTTTAGTTAGCGATTGATGCTAGTGATATTGGCGTTGGGGGAGTGTTGCTCCAGGAAGATGACTTTGGGGTTGAGAAACCAGTTTGTTATTTTTCAAGAAAATTAAATGTACACCAAAAACGGTATTCTATAATTGAGAAGGAAACTTTGAGCTTAGTATTGTCTCTCCAACATTTTGAAATATATGTGACGAATGGCAATGGTCCTACCACCATTTATACGGATCATAATCCACTTGTGTTTTTGGAAAAATTTAAAACCAAGAGTCATCGTTTATTTCGCTGGAGTTTGATGCTACAACCATACTCTTTGAAAATAGTACATATAGCTGGAAAAGATAATGTATTAGCTGATGCTTTATCACGAGTTTGAGATTTGTTATGTAAAATTGCATTAATAGTTTGGATTTGTAGTTTGAAGAACGTATTTCTTTAGAAAAGCGTTCTTTTTTGTATGGGGGAGATGTTATGATATTCTATTTTTGTTGTAAAATGAATGTATTTTGATAATGCCCAGTTAGCTAGTGAGGCTTGCCCAGCTGCGGAATTAGAATAGACAGCATGTATTGTCATTGCTAATTAATATTCTTTTGTTCGTGCTTGTGCAAGACGAACGTGAACACGAGTTAATCAAGTTGTCACCCAGCTCCCGACCAGTGCAGTGCAGCTCAGCTCAGCTCCAGTGCAGTGTCAACGTGGCAGCAAACGTATGTCTCATGATAATGCCTGACCAATTCGGCATGTGGGACTGATAGATGCAAAACAGCCTGCTGTGGTTCTACGCTGTAAAACCAACTTTTATTCAAAGACCTGTGTTTCGCCAGAAAGCATGGTTTGCTGATCTTGGTCTTCTCTCTACACGGACGGTATGGAAGTCGCGTAACATTACGGTCAGTGTCGTGTAATTTGCATTCTCCGAGACCTCGTAGTTTGGAGCTGTATGTAGACCTGATATCGCCGTCGACGTTGCTGTGATTAACTGTACTATCGCTGAAACTACGCAATACGAGTTCTGCACTTAGGTAGGGTAGACAATTCCGAGCTGGGCTATTATCATTAATGTTATATTTATTGTGATGTATATTGTTGACCGGTTTGTGATTTATATCACTCCTGCTATTGGTTTATGCTTATTGTATTATTAAATTAGTATTATTGGACATATCCTGACTGTGTGCCTTTGTTTGACGTTTAGTGTTGCATTCTGGAGTGCGAGATATTGGCGGCCAGGTTCGCGGGAGACTATCTCGTATTCCCGTTCGTAACAAATTGGCGAGCGTGCCAGGATACGACACGAATTGTTATGGTACATTCTAATATATAAATGCTTGAATTGCGTTTGGTGGCCGTACTAATGAATTTAAATTGTACTGAATTTTGTTTGGTTACGTACCATGGGTATGTATTGATCCGTACTGTCGTATTTCTGTAACAGGTCAAACAAAGCATACTGAATATTTGCTTACTATTGAATATATTTGATGAATATTGTGGGTATATAATTGGTCACTCTATTATATTGCGTAAATTTGGATATTGTTTTGATACCTTTTATTTTAGGGCTAAGTGCATTCGAGTCTTATTTGCGTAATATTTGTATTGTAAAATATTGTATCTGACCACCTCTCCAATCATGACTTCTAGTGTAGAGTTTAATGCTGAAAGTTTTCTGAAATCTGCCAGTGTATGTGTTAAAGATGTAGAGGCATTGCGCAAAGATGAGTTGAAGGCCCTTGGGGAATACTAGGTATTGGTGAAACACTGTCAGGTATGTTGAAATCTAAGATGGTGCGAGTATTAAGTGAACATTTGCGGTTAGTTGAGGAGGAGGAGGAAGAAGAGGAAGAGATGTCTCTTGACAGCCAGGTAGTTCTAGCTAAGATAGCATGGGAAAAAGAGAGATTAGAAAGACAAGAAAGGGAAAGGGAAAAGGAGAGACAAGAAAGGGAAAAGGAGAGACAAGAAAGGGAAAAGGAAAGACAAGAAAGGGAAAAGGAAAGACAAGAAAGGGAAAAGGAAAGAAATTTTGAGTTGGAAAAGATGAGATTAGAGCAGGAACTTAATAGAAGTGGTCCTAGTGGGTCAGAGTTTGGGTTTAGGTATGGTGGTGGTAAAGTTCAGGAATTTGATATGGCTCGGGAAATTAAATTAGTACCGAGATTTCAAGAGCAGGACGTGGATACCTATTTTTTGTCATTTAAGAAAATTGCCAAACGACTTGCATGGCCTGAACGTTATTGGACCTTGTTGTTGCATAGCGTGTTTACTGGAAAAGCTAGCGAAGTATGTTCCACTCTTGATGAGGAGCAGTATTCCGATTATGAATTTGTTAAAGCTGCAGTTCAGTCAGCCTATGAATTAGTGCCCGAAGGTTATAGACAGAGATTTAGGCATTTGCAGCGTACCGGTGGGCAAACATTTGTTGAGTTTGCTAGGGAGAAAGAGCTAGTTTTTGATAAATGGTATAGGTCCCTCCAGGCAGAGAAAGATTTTTGTAGTTTACAGGAGGTAGTGTTGTTGGAGGAGTTCAAAGATAGCATTCCCCTAGATATTAAAACCCACCTTGATGAGCATAAAGTGAAAAATATTAGAAATGCAGCTGCTGTGGCCGATGATTATGAATTAACCCATAAGAAGAGTGTAAAGTCCTATTCCCCCAGATGGAATAATAGGCGTTCCCGTGGTGCTAATGGTGCATTGGACGGTGAGGCTAGTGGCGAGAGTACTAAAAGTCAGTCTGTAACACCTAAATCAGCTGAGAACAAGAGAGTATGGGAAAAACCTCTTTGTTACTATTGTAAGAAGCCAGGGCATGTGAGGGCAGAGTGTTTCAAGTTGAAGAATGAGAGGCAGTGGAGAAAGCCAGTAGCATTTGCCAGGGTTAGAGACCCTGTTAGGAAAGTAGTAGGGAGTTCAGCCATGCCTGGAAAAAGATGTGGAATTCTTGATGTACCTGAAGAGTATAAAAACTTCGTGTCAAAGGGTGAGGTATCCCTTGGTAAGGTTAGTGATAGTAAGCCTGTAGTTATACTCAGAGACACTGGGGCAGCTCAGTCTTTAATGTTGGCTGGTGTATTATCTTTAGATAATGTAAATACAGATGCCAGTGTGCTGGTTCAGGGTATTGGAGGTGGTTATGAGTCTGTTCCCTTGTATAATGTCGAGTTGAGGTCTGATTTGGTCACTGGAGATGTGACTGTTGGTGTGGTCAAGTCCTTGCCGATAGAGGGCGTTACTTTTCTACTGGGTAATGACCTGGCTGGGGGTAAGGTGAGTGTACTCCCCGTGGTTTCTTGTAAGCCTGTGGTTAATGACAAGACTGAAGAGTTGCTTGAATTATATCCTGGTATATTCCCTGCGTGTGTTGTTACTAGGTCACAAACTAGTAAGGAGAGACAGGATGAGCTGGTGTCAGAGGTAGTGAAGGAAGACTCTGGTGTGTGGTTAGCGGAGACTTTCTTTGGTGATTTGAAGGATGGTAGTGAGATTAAGACTGACTTCAGTCACTCTTCACTAGTAGAGCAGCAAGAAGCAGATTGCACCTTGAAAGAGCTAATGGCGAGTGCATTGAGTGAGAATGAGGCTGAAAATCTTCCGAAGTGTTGTTATATGAAGGATGGTGTTTTAATGAGGAAGTGGCGACCTCCCAGTTCCCCAGCTGATGAGGACTGGACGGTAGTTCACCAAATAGTGGTGCCTCACTCTTATCGGCATGAGATACTTAGAATAGCTCATTCTATCCCTGTGGCTGGGCACTTGGGTATAAGAAAGACTGACGCCAGAATAATGGCACATTTTTACTGGCCCAAATTACATAGAGACGTGGTTGACTACTGCAAAACGTGTCATACTTGTCAGGTTGTAGGAAAACCCCAGCCTGCTATTAAGCCTGCCCCTTTGGTGCCTATCCCAGCATTTGGTGAGCCATTCAGTAAGGTGTTGGTTGATTGTGTTGGCCCATTGCCTAGAACCAAGACAGGTTTTCGTTTTATGTTAACAATCATGGATATGGCCACTAGGTATCCTGAGGTAGTGCCTTTGAAAACTATAACTGCTAAGGTAGTGGTGGAGGCATTGGTGCATTTTTTTAGAAGGTATGGGCTTCCTAAAGAAATTCAGTCTGACCAAGGGTCAAACTTTATGTCTGGGCTATTTCAGGAGGTTATGCATCAGCTGGGGGTGAGTCAGCTTAAATCCTCTGCTTATCATCCTCAGTCTCAGGGAGCATTAGAAAGGTACCATCAAACTTTGAAGAACATGCTCAGATCATACTGTACAGAGTGTCCGGAGGATTGGGATAAGGGAATACCCCTTGTATTGTTTGCTACTAGGGACACTCCCAGTGACTCTACAGGGTTTAGTCCATTTGAACTTGTGTATGGTCATAATGTCAGGGGTCCCCTGAAGCTTCTAAGAGAACAGTTTCTAGTTGCTGAGCCAGAGACCAATATGTTAGATTATATATGCAAGTTTCGAGAACGCCTTTTTAAAGCAGGCGAGACGGCTGCTGAACATCTTAAGGTGTCCCAGAATGTTATGAAGAAGAAGTTTGATAGAAATGCAAAAGCACGCCAGTTTAGTCCAGGTGAAAAGGTCTTAGTATTATTACCGCTAGTGAGTGAGCCATTAGCTGCTAAGTTTAGTGGGCCCTATGAGATTAAAAAGAAACTTAGTGAGGTCAATTATTTAATCAGTACCCCTGATCGCCGTAAACATCAACGAGTTTGTCATGTTAACATGATAAAGAAGTATTTTGATTGTAAGGGAGAACCCCCCAAGATGACAGGTGTAGTTGGTTCTGGTAATCAGACTTTTGAGTGCGAAGATGAAAATGAAGATGATCCTGATCCTGGAGAGTTTGATATGTCACAACTGGATCCACAAACTGCTGTATTATCCAATTCTGAGACCTTATCCAACTTGTCGTCTTTGTTGAGCTATTTACCCGAGCCTCAAAGAGAAAGTTTTTGCGAGTTGATTTTTGAATTTCAACATTTGTGTTCTGATGAATTGGGTCGTACCACTTTGGCTTGGCATGATGTGGATGTCGGTGAGGCTATCCCCATTAAGCAGGCTCCATACAGACTCAACCCTGATAAGTTGGCAAAGGTGAGGAAGGAGGTTCAGTACATGTTACAGCATGATATAATCGAACCCAGTCAGAGTAGCTGGAGTTCTCCCATTGTTCTCATCCCCAAACCTGATGGGTCTTTGAGATTTTGATGGGTCTTTGATTTTGTATTGATTTCCGTAAGGTAAATGCTTTAACTGTTACTGACTCTTATCCTCTTCCCAGAATTGAAGATTGCATTGACAAAGTTGGGAAAGCAAAGTACATCAGTAAGGTAGATTTACTTAAAGGTTATTGGCAGGTTCCTCTGACTAATAAGGCCAAAGAAATATCAGCCTTTGTCACGCCTGACGGTTTGTTTCATTGTAAAGTGCTTCCATTTGGCATGAAAAACGCTCCAGCAACCTTCCAGCGCCTAATGGATAGAGTAATACAAGGTGTACCAAATTGTGTTGTGTATATTGATGATGTGGTCATCTATAGTGAAAATTGGGAAAGTCATTTGCTCCATCTCAGAAAATTGTTCGAAAAGCTCACATGGGCCAATTTGGTTGTAAACTTGACCAAAAGTGAGTTTGCTAAAGCTAAGGTGACTTATTTAGGTCATGTCATAGGTCAAGGTAAAGTGTTGCCACGACTGGCCAAGGTTAAAGCCATTGTCAACTTTCCGGCTCCAAAATCAAAACGAGAAATCCTTAGATTTTTGGGCATGTCTGGTTTCTATCGAAAGTTTGTGGCAAACTATAGTGAGGTTGTGGCTCCACTTACCAATTTGCTAAGTACGAAGGTGAAGTTTATTTGGGCAGATGAATGTGAACAGGCATTCGCAAAGATTAAAGCTGTGTTAATAAGAGCCCATTTTGGCTGCTCCAAATTTCAGCAAGTCTTTTAGTTTAGCGATTGATGCTAGTGATATTGGCGTTGGGGGAGTGTTGCTCCAGGAAGATGACTTTGGGGTTGAGAAACCAGTTATTTTTCAAGAAAATTAAATGTACACCAAAAACGGTATTCTACAATTGAGAAGGAAACTTTGAGCTTGGTATTGTCTCTCCAACATTTTGAGATATATGTGACGAATGGCAATGGTCCTACCACCATTTATACGGATCATATTCCACTTGTGTTTTTGGAAAAATTTAAAACCAAGAGTCATCGTTTATTTCGCTGGAGTTTGATGCTACAACCATACTCTTTGAAAATAGTACATATAGCTGGAAAAGATAATGTATTAGCTGATGCTTTATCACGAGTTTGAGATTTGTTATGTAAAATTGCATTAATAGTTTGGATTTGTAGTTTGAAGAACGCATTTCTTTAGAAAAGCGTTCTTTGTTGTATGGGGGAGATGTTATGATATTCTATTTTTGCTGTAAAATGAATGTATTTTGATAATGCCCAGTTAGCTAGTGAGGCTTGCCCAGCTGCGGAATTAGAATAGACAGCATGTATTGTCATTGCTAATTAATATTCTTTTGTTTGTGCTTGTGCAAGACGAACGTGAACACGAGTTAATCAAGTTGTCACCCAGCTCCCGACCAGTGCAGTGCAGTGCAGCTCAGCTCAGCTCCGGTGCAGTGTCAACGTGGCAGCCAACGTATGTCTCACGATAAGGCCTTACCAATTCGACATGTGAGACTGATAGATGCAAAACAGCCTGCTGTGGTTCTGCGCTGTAAAAACCAACTTTATTCAAAGACCTGCGTTTCGCCAGAAAGCATGGTTTGCTGATCTTGGTCTTCTCTCTACACGGACGGTATGGAAGTCGCGTAACATTACGGTCAGTGTCGTGTAATTTGCATTCCCCGAGATCTTAGTTTGGAGCTGTAGACCTGATATCGCCGTCGACGTTGCTGTGATTAACTGTACTATCGTTGAAACTACGCAATACGAGTTCTGCACTTAGGTAGGGTAGACAATTCCGAGCTGGGCTATTATCATTAATGTTATATTTATTGTGATGTATATTGTTGACCGGTTTGTGATTTATATCACTCCTGCTATTGGTTTATGCTTATTGTATTATTAAATTAGTATTATTGGACATATCCTGACTGTGTGCCTTTGTTTGACCTTTAGTGTTGCGTTCTGGAGTGCGAGATATTGGCAGCCAGGTTCGCGGGAGACTATCTCGTATTCCCGTTCGTAACAAATTGGCGAGCGTGCCAGGATACGACACGAATTGTTATGGTACATTCTAATATATAAATGCTTGAATTGCGTTTGGTGGCCGTACTAATGAATTTAAATTGTACTGAATTTTGTTTGGTTACGTACCATGGGTATGTATTGATCCGTACTGTCGTATTTCTGTAACAGGTCAAACAAAGCATACTGATAATTTGCTTACTATTGAATATATTTGATGAATATTGTGGGTATATAATTGGTCACTCTATTATATTGCGTAAATTTTGGATATTGTTTTGATACCTTTTATTTTAGGGCTAAGGTGCATTCGAGTCTTATTTGCGTAATATTTGTATTGTAAAATATTGTATCTGACACCTCTCCAATCATGACTTCTAGTGTAGAGTTTAATGCTGAAAGTTTTCTGAAATCTGCCAGTGTATGTGTTAAAGATGTAGAGGCATTGCGCAAAGATGAGTTGAAGGCCCTTGGGGAATACCTAGGTATTGGTGAAACACTGTCAGGTATGTTGAAATCTAAGATGGTGCGAGTATTAAGTGAACATTTGCGGTTAGTTGAGGAGGAGGAGGAAGAGGAGGAAGAGATGTCTGTTGACAGCCAGGTACTTCTAGCTAAGATAGCATGGGAAAAAGAGAAATTAGAAAGACAAGAACGGGAAAGGGAAAAGGAAAGACAAGAAAGGGAAAAGGAAAGAAATTTTGAGTTGGAAAAGATGAGATTAGAGCAGGAACTTAATAAAAGTGGTCCTAGTGGGTCAGAGTTTGGGTTTAGATATGGTGGTGGTAAAGTTCAGGAATTTGATATGGCTCGGGAAATTAAACTAGTACCGAGATTTCAAGAGCAGGACGTGGATACCTATTTTTTGTCATTTGAGAAAATTGCCAAACGACTTGCATGGCCTGAACGTTATTGGACCTTGTTGTTGCATAGCGTGTTTACTGGAAAAGCTAGCGAAGTATGTTCCACTCTTGATGAGGAGCAGTATTCCGATTATGAATTTGTGAAAGCTGCAGTTCAGTCAGCCTATGAATTAGTGCCCGAAGCTTATAGACAGAGATTTAGGCATTTGCAGCATACTTGTGGGCAAACATTTGTTGAGTTTGCTAGGGAGAAAGAGCTAGTTTTTGATAAATGGTATAGGTCCCTCCAGGCAGAGAAAGATTTTTGTAGTTTACGGGAGGTAGTGTTGTTGGAGGAATTCAAAGATAGCATTCCCCTAGATATTAAAACCCACCTTGATGAGCATAAAGTGAAAAATATTAGAAATGCAGCTGCTGTGGCCGATGATTATGAATTAACCCATAAGAAGAGTGTAAAGTCCTATTCCTCCAGATGGAATAATAGGCGTTCCCGTGGTGCTAATGGTGCATTGGACGGTGAGGCTAGTGGTGAGAGTACTAAAAGTCAGTCTGTAACACCTAAACCAGCTGAGAACAAGAGAGTATGGGAAAAACCTCTTTGTTACTATTGTAAGAAGCCAGGGCATGTGAGGGCAGAGTGTTTCAAGTTGAAGAATGAGAGGCAGTGGAGAAAGCCAGTAGCATTTGCCAGGGTTAGAGACCCTGTTAGGAAAGTAGTAGGGAGTTCAGCCATGCCTGGAAAAAGATGTGGAATTCTTGATGTACCTGAAGAGTATAAAAACTTCGTGTCAAAGGGTGAGGTATCCCTTGGTAAGGTTAGTGATAGTAAGCCTGTAGTTATACTCAGAGACACTGGGGCAGCTCAGTCTTTAATGTTGGCTGGTGTATTACCTTTAGATAATGTAAATACAGATGCCAGTGTGCTGGTTCAGGGTATTGGAGGTGGTTATGAGTCTGTTCCCTTGTATAATGTCAAGTTGAGGTCTGATTTGGTCACTGGAGATGTGACTGTTGGTGTGGTCAAGTCCTTGCCGATAGAGGGCGTTACTTTTCTACTGGGTAATGACCTGGCTGGGGGTAAGGTGAGTGTACTCCCCGTGGTTTCTTGTAAGCCTGTGGTTAATGACAAGACTGAAGAGTTGCTTGAATTATATCCTGGTATATTCCCTGCGTGTGTTACTAGGTCACAAACTAGTAAGGAGAGACAGGATGAGCTGGTGTCAGAGGTAGTGAAGGAAGACTCTGGTGTGTGGTTAGCGGAGACTTTCTTTGGTGATTTGAAGGATGGTAGTGAGATTAAGACTGACTTCAGTCACTCTTCACTAGTAGAGCAGCAAGAAGCAGATTGCACCTTGAAAGAGCTAATGGCGAGTGCATTGAGTGAGAATGAGGCTGAAAATCTTCCGAAGTGTTGTTACATGAAGGATGGTGTTTTAATGAGGAAGTGGCGACCTCCCAGTTCCCCAGCTGATGAGGACTGGACGGTAGTTCACCAAATAGTGGTGCCTCACTCTTATCAGCATGAGATACTTAGAATAGCTCATTCTATCCCTGTGGCTGGGCACTTGGGTATAAGAAAGACTGATGCCAGAATAATGGCACATTTTTACTGGCCCAAATTACATAGAGACGTGGTTGACTACTGCAAAACGTGTCATACTTGTCAGGTTGTAGGAAAACCCCAGCCTGCTATTAAGCCTGCCCTTTGTGCTTATCCCAGCATTTGGTGGAGCCATTCAGTAAGGTGTTGGTTGATTGTGTTGGCCCATTGCCTAGAAACAAGACAGGTTTTCGTTTTATGATAACAATCATGGATATGGCCACTAGGTATCTGAGGTAGTGCCTTTGAAAACTATAACTGCTAAGGTAGTGGTGGAGGCATTGGTGCATTTTTTTACAAGGTATGGTCTTCCTAAAGAAATTCAGTCTGACCAAGGGTCAAACTTTATGTCTGGGTTATTTCAGGAAGTTATGCATCAGCTGGGGGCGAGTCAGCTCAAATCCTCTGCTTATCATCCCCAGTCTCAGGGAGCATTAGAAAGGTATCATCAAACTTTGAAGAACATGCTCGGGTCATACTGTACAGAGTGTCCGGAGGATTGGGATAAGGGAATACCCCTTGTATTGTTTGCTACTAGGGACACTCCCAGTGACTCTACAGGGTTTAGTCCATTTGAACTTGTGTATGGTCATAATGTCAGGGGTCCCCTGAAGCTTCTAAAAGAAAAGTTTCTAGTTGCTGAGCCAGAGACCAATATGCTAGATTATATATGCAAGTTTCGAGAACGCTATTTTAAAGCAGGCGAGATAGCTGCTGAACATCTTAAGGTGTCCCAGAATGTTACGAAAAAGAAGTCTGATAGAAATGCAAAAGCACGCCAGTTTAGCCCAGGTGACAAGGTCTTAGTATTATTACCGTTAGTGGGTGAGCAATTAGCTGCTAAGTTTAGTGGGCCCTATGAGATTAAAAAGAAACTTAGTGAGGTCAATTATTTAATTAGTACCCCTGATCGCCGAAAACATCAACGAGTTTGTCATATTAACATGATAAAGAAGTATTTTGATTGTAAGGGAGAACCCCATAAGATGATAGGTGTAGTTGGTTCTGGTAATCATACTTTTGAGCGCGAAGATGATCCTGATCCTGGAGAGTTTGATATGTCACAACTGGATCCACAAACTGCTGTATTATCCAATTCTGAGACCTTATCCAACTTGTCGTCTTTGTTGAGCTATTTACCTGAGTCTCAAAGAGAAAGTTTTTGCGAGTTGATTTTTGAATTTCAACATTTGTGTTCTGATGAATTGGGTCGTACCACTTTGGCTTGGCATGATGTGGATGTCGGTAAGGCTATCCCCATTAAGCAGGCGCCATACAGACTCAACCCTGTTAAGTTGGCCAAGGTTAGGAAGGAGGTTCAGTACATGTTACAGCATGATATAATCGAACCCAGTCAGAGTAGCTGGAGTTCTCCCATTGTTCTCATCCCCAAACCTGATGGTTCTTTGAGATTTTGTATTGATTCCGTACGGTAAATGCTTTAACTGTTACTGACTCTTATCCTCTTCCCAGAATTGAAGATTGCATTGACAAAGTTGGGAAAGCAAAGTACATCAGTAAAGTAGATTTACTTAAAGGTTATTGGCAGGTTCCTCTGACTAATAAGGCCAAAGAAATATCAGCCTTTGTCACGCCTGATGGTTTGTTTCATTGTAAAGTTCTTCCATTTGGCATGAAAAACGCTCCAGCAACCTTCCAGCGCCTAATGGATAGAGTAATACAAGGTGTACCAAATTGTGTTGTGTAGATTGATGATATGGTCATCTATAGCGAAAATTGGGAAAGTCATTTGCTCCATCTCAGAAAATTGTTCGAGAAGCTCACATGGGCCAATTTGGTTGTAAACTTGACCAAAAGTGAGTTTGCTAAAGCTAAGGTGACCTATTTAGGTCATGTCATAGGTCAAGGTAAAGTGTTGCCACGACTCGCCAAGGTTAAAGCCGTTGTCAACTTTCCGGCTCCAAAATCAAAACGAGAAATCCTTAGATTTTTGGGCATGTCTGGTTTCTATCGAAAGTTTGTGGCAAACTATAGTGAGGTTGTGGCTCCACTTACCAATTTGCTAAGTACGAAGGTGAAGTTTATTTGGTCAGATGAATGTGAACAGGCATTCGCAAAGATTAAAGCTGTGTTAATAAGAGAGCCCATTTTGGCTGCTCCAAATTTCAGCAAGTCTTTTTGGTTAGCGATTGATGCTAGTGATATTGGCGTTGGGGGCGTGTTGCTCCAGGAAGATGACTTTGGAGTTGCGAAACCAGTTTATTTTCAAGAAAATTAAATGTACACCAAAAACGGTATTCTACAATTTAGAAGGAAACTTTTAGCTTGGTATTATCTCTCCAACATTTTGAGATATATGTGACGAATGGCAATGGTCCTATCACCATTTATACGGATCATAATCCACTTGTGTTTTTGGAAAAATTTAAAACCAAGAGTCATCGTTTATTTCGCTGGAGTTTGATGCTACAACCATACTCTTTGAAAATAGTACATATAGCTGGAAAAGATAATGTATTATCTGATGCTTTATCACGAGTTTGAGAATTGTTATGTAAAATTGCATTAAGAGTTTGGATTTGTAGTTTGAAGAACGCATTTCTTTAGAAAAGCGTTCTTTTTTGTATGGGGGAGATGTTATGATATTCTATTTTTGCTGTAAAACAAATGCATTTTGATAATCCCAGTTAGCCAGTGAGGCTTGCCCAGCTGCGGAATTAGAATAGACAGCATGTATTGTCATTGCTAATTAATATTCGTTTGTTCGTGCTTGTGCAAGACGAACGGGAACATGAGTTAGTCAGTTGTCACCCAGCTCCCGACCAGTGCAGTGCAGTTCAGCTCAGCTCCGGTGCAGTGTCAACGTGGCAGCCAACGTATGTCTCAAGATAATGCGTGACCAATTCGGCATGTGAGACTAATAGATGCAAAACAGCCTGCTTTGGTTCTGCGCTGTAAAACCAACTTTATCCAAAGACCTGTGTTGCGCCAGAAAGCGTGGTTTGCTGAGCTTGGTCTTTTCTCTGCACAGACGGTATGGAAGTCGTGTAACATTACGGTCAGTGTCGTGTAATTTGCATTCCCCGAGACCTCGTAGTTTGGAGCTGTATAACTGATATCGCCGTCGACGTTGCTGTGATTAACTGTACTATTGCTGAAGCTACGCAGTACGAGTTCTGCACTTCGGTAGGGTAGGCAATTCCGAGCTGGGCTATTATCATTAATGTTATATTTATTGTGATGTATATTGTTGACCGGTTTGTGATTTATATCACTCCTGTTATTGGTTTATGCTTATTGTATTATTAAATTAGTATTATTGGACATATCCTGACTGTGTGCCTTTGTTTGACCCTTTAGTGTTGCGTTCTGGAGTGCGAGATATTGGCGGCCAGGTTCGCGGGAGACTATCTCGTATTCCCGTTCGTAACAAATTGGCGAGCGTGCCAGGATACGACACGAATTGTTATGGTACATTCTAATATATAAATGATTGAATTGCGTTTGGTGGCCGTACTAATGAATTTAAATTGTACTGAATTTTGTTTGGTTATGCATGGATATGTATTAATCCGTACTGTCGTAGTTCTGTAACAGGTCAAACAAAGCATACTGATAATTTGCTTACTATTGAATATATTTGATGAATATTGTGGGTATATAATTGTTCACTCTATTATATTGCGTAAATTTTGGATATTGTGTTGATACCTTTTGTTTTAGGGTTAAGGTGCATTCGAGTCTTATTTGCGTAATATTTGTATGGTAAAATATTTTATCTAACACCTCTCCAATCATGACTTCTAGTGTAGAGTTTAATGCCGAAAGATTTCTGAAATCTGCCAGTGTATGTGTTAAAGATGTAGAGGCATTGCGCAAAGATGAGTTGAAGGCCCTTGGGGAATACCTAGGTATTGGTGAAACACTGACAGGTATGTTGAAATCTAAGATGGTGCGAGTATTAAGTGAACATTTGCGGCTAGTTAGGGAGGAGGAAGAAGAGGAAGATGAGATTCTCTTGACAGCCAGGTAGTTCTAGCTAAGATAACATGGGAAAAAGAGAGATTAGAAAGACAAGAAAGGGAAAAGGAAAAGGAAAGACAAGAAAGGGAAAAGGAAAGAAATTTTGAGTTGGAAAAGATGAGATTAGAGCAGGAACTTAATAGAAGTGGTCCTAGTGGGTCATAGTTTGGGTTTAGGTATGGTGGTGGTAAAGTTCAGGGATTTGTTATGGCTCGGGAAATTAAATTAGTGCCGAGATTTCATGAGCAGGACGTGGATACCTATTTTTGTCATTTGAGAAAATTGCCGAACGACTTGCATGGCCTGAACGTTATTGGACCTTGTTGTTGCATAGCGTATTTACTGGAAAAGCTAGCGAAGTATGTTCCACCCTTGATGAGGAGCAGTATTCAGATTATGAGTTTGTCAAAGCTGCAGTTCAGTCAGCCTATGAATTAGTGCCCGAAGCTTATAGACAGAGATTTAGGCATTTGCAGCGTACCGGTGGGCAAACATTTGTTGAGTTTGCTAGGGAGAAAGAGCTAGTTTTTGATAAATGGTATAGGTCCCTCCAGGCAGAGAAAGATTTTTGTAGTTTGCGGGAGGTAGTGTTGTTGGAGGAATTCAAGATAGCATTCCCCTAGATATTAAAACCCACCTTGATGAGCATAAAGTGAAAAATATTAGAAATGCAGCTGCTGTAGCTGATGATTATGAATTAACCCATAAGAAGAGTGTAAAGTCCTATTCCCCCAGATGGAATAATAAGCGTTCCCGTGGTGCTAATGGTGCATTGGACGGTGGGGCTAGTGGTGAGAGTACTAAAAGTCAGTCTGTAACGCCTAAACCAGCTGAGAACAAGAGAGTATGGGAAAAACCTCTTTGTTACTATTGTAAAAAGCCAGGGCATGTGAGGGCAGAGTGTTTCAAGTTGAAGAATAATGAGGCAGTGGAGAAAGCCAGTAGCATTTGCCAGTGTTAGAGACCCTGTTAGGAAAGTAGTCGGGAGTTCAGCAATGCCTGGAAAAAGATGTGGAATTTTTGATGTACCTGAAGAGTATAAAAACTTCGTGTCAAAGGGTGAGGTATCCCTTGGTAAGGCTAGTTATAGTAAGCCTGTAGTTATACTCAGAGATACTGGGGCAGCTCAGTCTTTAATGTTGGCTGGTGTATTATCTTTAGATAATGTAAATACAGATGCCAGTGTGCTGGTTCAGGGTATTGGAGGTGGTTATGAGTCTGTTCCCTTGTATAATGTCGAGTTGAGGTCTGATTTGGTCACTGGAGATGTGATTGTTGGTGTGGTCAAGTCCTTGCCGATAGAGGGCGTTACTTTTCTGCTGGGTAATGACCTGGCTGGGGGTAAGGTGAGTGTATTCCCCGTGGTTTCTTCTAAGCCTGGGGTTAATGACAAGACTGAAGAGTTGCTTGAATTATATCCTGGTATATTCCCTGCGTGTGTTGTTACTAGGTCACAAACTAGTAAGGAGAGACAGGATGAGCTGGTGTCAGAGGTAGTGAAGGAAGACTCTGGTGTGTGTGGTTAGCGGAGACTTTCTTTGGTGATTTGAAGGATGGTCGTGAGATTAAGACTGACTTCAGTCACTCTTCACTAGTAGAGCAGCAAGAAGCAGATTTCACCTTGAAAGAGCTAATGGCGATTGCATTGAGTGAGAATGAGGCTGAAAATCTTCCGAAGTGTTATATGAAGGATGGTGTTTTAATGAGGAAGTGGCGACCTCCCAGTTCCCAAGCTGATGAGGACTGGACGCAAGTTCACCAAATAGTGGTGCCTCACTGTTATCGGCATGAGATACTTAGAATAGCTCATTCTATCCCTGTGGCTGGGCACTTGGGTATAAGAAAGACTGAAGCCAGAATAATGGCACATTTTTACTGGCCCAAGTTACATAGAGACGTGGTTGACTACTGCAAAACGTGGCATACTTGTCAGGTTGTCGGAAAACCCCAGCCTGCTATTAAGCCTGCCCCTTTGGTGCCTATCCCAGCATTTGGTGAGCCATTCAGTAAGGTGTTGGTTGATTGTGTTGGCCCATTGCCTAGAACCAAGACAGGTTTTCGTTTTATGATAACAATCATGGATATGGCCACTAGGTATCCTGAGGTAGTGCCTTTGAAAACTATAACTGCTAAGGTAGTGGTGGAGGCATTGGTGCATTTTTTACAAGGTATGGTCTTCCTAAAGAAATTCAGTCTGACCAAGGGAACAAACTTTATGTCTGGGTTATTTCAGGAAGTTATGCATCAGCTGGGGGTGAGTCAGCTTAAATCCTCTGCTTATCATCCTCAGTCTCAGGGAGCATTAGAAAGGTACGTAACAGTTGTGATTACACTATAAAGCCATTTATTGTTACTGAGAGTTAAAGCGGGGAGTCCACATCTGCGCATGTGCCAAATGGCCATAGCGTGTCATTGTTTACAAACAATCGTCTACCCATGAGCCCTTGCGTTTTTAGCGTGTGTTTTTATCGTCGCT